TTTTACACCTTTAATGAGCGAAAATTGTTTTATGGACTTTTACAGAACATATGACTCTAAGCAGAGTATTATTTTTATATGTAATTACACTAACTTTAGTATTAATTATACACAATAATTGTCCATCAAAACGTAATAAAATGCTATAGTATATAAAGTAAATGACTATGAGTTTTAATAATATTCTTTTAAAATATCGATAGTAACAAAACATCTATCAAGAGTGGAAACCATAATTATGATATTATGTACAAGTAGAGCCCTAAAATTACAACAGTTCAAATACCATTCTACATATTCATACCTTGCGTATAGAGGTAGTTGAGTAAACAGTGTTATACTTTATCTAAAATGCGTCTAAGAGAATTTAAATAAAAAAAGTGTTATTAAAAACACTCTCAAATACTTTAATACCCCGCGCAGAATACGATATCAAAGACCAATAGCTATGGAATGAAAAGTTTCACAAAAAAGTTTTGATCAATTAAACCTTTTCGGCTGTTTTTGAAGTTGCCTTTGCAGCTCCAAGCATGGATGTAGAAACCCCTGTATTGATAAAATGTCCATACGTTTTGATTAAAAATTAATAATTTAGTCAATGCTACTGAATTCCCTACACTCCAAGGGGTTGGGAATAAACTGATATATTTTCTATGGATGGCGGTTTGATTAGCAAATAATAACTGATTAGTTACTTAAACCCCTTCAGCAAACACCTGACTACGCCACTGATTATAGCAGTTGTTCATTTTAATGCAAGTTTATTATTTTTGATTTGCGAAGTAATATCAAATAAAGTAAATAAACTTTATCAAACGTTTATTTCATTGATATCAGAAACATTTGATAACCAATACAGAACTATAATATTTTATATAAATACTTAGAAATGCATCTGATAAGATTTCGCCCAATTTATATTGTTTGTTAACATGTTGTTTACCCTTTAACTGTAGATAATTTAAGTTTGTGCAAACTTATGATACATAAATGAATATTCATATACTAGTAAATTAAGATATATTTTAAATATTCTAAAAAATGGTCAAATTTCGATTACAGATTGGGAAATTATGAAATAAATCTAGGATACCCACTTTCAAAAATCATTTTTTAAGCTGTAGAAAGACTGTTTCAGTTACCATTTGAAAATACAATTTGATATCGTCTTATTTAATAAAAAAAAAATCTTCAAAGTCAGAAATCAGACCCGTCATATACCAAAGCACCTCTGGCAAAATATATTCTATAAAAGACTTAATACTCTTCTAAGTTCAATACACTAAGTTCAATAATCTACTTTCCTCCTTTATTACATGTCATAATTTGATAGGTATCTCAAACCACTAGATTGATTTTTACATCCAGTATAGACGTCTGCAGATGTCAGAATTAAAATTTTATTTTACGCATGTCAACTTAAAATGGATATTTTATTGACATATTGATGAAATTAACAGGCCTCACATACTGAGATATAATATACTCTCACACTCCTTGTCATCATAATTAAACTCTCTGAGAACTAAAAAGAGAGTACATTTTGAGTTGAACGACCCGAATATGAAGAACTTACAATATGAGAATTAACAAGACTTTACTTTTCTTCACAACTTGTACTGAAAAGTGTTAGAATATCGAAGATATAGCAAATATATTTAAGTTGTTAAGGTATTGATTTAAAACTTTTATTACTTCAAGTACCTCACGCACAATGGATTAAAAAACGTATCATGTTCACGCCTAATCAGGCTTTACACTCACAATTATTTCAAACGTCTACATAGACGATTAGAATCGATTAATCGATTGCAAATTTGTAGTGTTCTATTTTAGTTCTCTCCAGATAAATACCTAAATCCTTTCTACTTTAAAGAGTTTATAGATTGAAGCACAATTAATTGAATAATATATAAAACAGATGCCATTGAAACCAGATAGTTCTCTAGATGTTGAAGAGGAGCATATCCTTAGTCCCCCAAATTATGATTTCACAAATCTGTGCTGAGTTGTAGTTGGAAGGGCGTTGTAATTTCTACTAGGTTAGCACAACTAAACTCAAGTCTATGTGAAATTCTATACTTTAAAAATCTTTATTAATAACTTATATCATTTGTAAATTAAAATCATTAGGCTATATCTGGCAAATATGAATTTTGAAATATTGTATTTTTATTCAATAAATTTGCATTTTCAAATCACTGTACGTTCCCCGGATTTTTTGAAACTCTTAACGATTACTTAGTATAATGAAAACAATTCAATTAGACCGAAATTAGTACTTCGCAGGTATGTGGTCTTGTTATGGCTCTGGCTTTTATGAAACGAAACTGCAAAGTATGCCAAGCCTCTGTTTATTGTTTCGACAATAAAAGAAGTTTAGTTCACATCGAAATGCGGTTAAGTGAAATCACTTAAAAATTTTGGCGAGTAAATAAAATGTTAATCTTTCAAAGCTGAATTTCAATGAGAAAAAAAGAAGAACTCCAAAAAGTTCCCTGCAACTTACATTGTCGATAAACATTTTTGTTTACATTTTTAAACATTTAAGTAGGTTGGCACAAGCCAATTGCCAATCGCCAATACAAAACAAGACGGAGGGTTTCCGTAAATAACAAGCATTTGATTTCCGTTCCAAGCTTCAAGCTCCGTATGTGAGCATAAAATTAAATACTTATATGGTAAAAATCTAAAAAGAGCAAAACAAATCTTACTAGCTTTTCGGTTATGCCCTCACCAATGCTCTTCCACAAAAACAAAATGCTTTCTTTCTTCGACTTACAGATAATGTGGTAATGTGGTTGCGGAGTGAGTCACACATTGCGTGACGCAGCATCGGTCAATTTATAGATTTTTTTCCATTTCTCTTTGCGGTCATCATTCATTGACATTTGCAGACTGGTTTTAACCAATCTTTTTTTGTTCAATCTTCATCAACAAACTAGATTTGGAGCTGGAGACGTGTTTCCAAAAAAAACTTTTCGCATGCATTTCCACTTATTTCAAGTGGGAACCATCAGTTGATCCGAAGATGCTCAATATGTCATTTATTTTGATAGTGCAACAGTCATCTAATCAAATATTACTATGGCAACTCAGTATCATTTTCAAAACCATTCAAGTTTATTTGTGTTTCATAGATGGACTGAAGCTTCTAGTACTTTCACAACGCATATCTCAGATGTTGAAATTGAAAATTTGTAAAGTTGTGCAATTTAATGAAATGAAAATGTTGCCAATAATTGTCAAGACTTTTCTTCTTTCACAAGCTGAAATTGAAATTGAGAACAGAATTAAGTGCTCTTTACAAATCTAGTTAAACAAGATACACTTCAGAAGGCTCACTTTCTACAATGAAATCTGCAAAAATTGTGTTATTAATAAACCATTCTTAAACTATTTTTATAGCAGCAAAATTTTTATCTTTATCGATTTTATTTTTATTTTATACGTCAAATTTTCTAGATTGTGCACATCAAATTTATTATTAATATTAGTACAAGGATTGTCATACATATGATCTTCATATCATCCTATGTGTTCTTAAGAAGATTATAGGGCAAAAGAAAATTTCTGTAACGTACCTGTCTCTTGGAATATATTAAAGCTTATAACTCTTTATGTGGTAGTTCAATGAAAAATGATCGTTCCCAAAATAGTCTGGGCTGATACGTCTAATGGCTACCTTCTGGATTATGTTAGAGAGTTATTTTAGCAGTTGTACTGCTTTTTCTACATTGGATTTGTTCCATCCACGTTATATGTAAGATAGGTAAAGTGTGAGTTTTTTTTCCGTTAGCAGATATACATTTTCTAAGCAGCTAATCCGTTATAAATTATTAGACCACATCTCATGGTATACTTAATACTCTGATTAGTAAAAAGATCGGTAATATAAATTGACTCTATATATTATTGTGTCCAATTTGTTATACTTAGTTTTAAACAAATAAATAACAAGTGCAATGAAATAGTTTTTGATGCGAAAAGCACACCTATGCTCAACTTATTGCTCCTTATCTAATCATACTTAAGTATACCGGAACTAACACACTGTTTGTACCTTTACTATTATGATTATAATAAGTTGATTGGCACAGCGTTATTGTTATTTTAGTAAACAGTATTGCATTATTGTTATCAATTTCTGTAATACAATTAGATATGTTAAATTAATTGCCATGGCTTGTTTCATAAAGGCATTTGGTTTAGAATAAAAAACCAACAGAATGCTGACCCTAGTAGGACGCTACAACCATTATTTATCTTTTGTGTCACTTATTAACCCTAATTGAACATAAGGCACTCAGACAGTTCGCCTTTCGCATAAAAGCCAAAATATTAACTCTGGAGGATATTGTAACTTTGACCGAGAATACGAAGCATTCTCCTCCTGGTCCAGATTAAAGCCAAACAATCACAAAAATTGTAACTACAAGAATCAACTGCTTTCAAGCACACACGACATATTGTTTTCTCAGACAAACCCATCTTAAGACGATAACGCAAGCCATAATGATCCGTTAGATAATTTGCCAACAATCTCAATTCCGCGATGACTCAAAATCAGTTCTTTCGCTAAGAACCCATTTTTATGTGAACACTCTTGTTGTGAACTAACTTATGCCACAATTAGACTAATACTCTTTACATTATCTTTCATGTCTTTCCAAAAAATACATATGTATTATAAAATAATATACTTTTTGCATATACGAAATATTAAAGAATTAATAAATATTTTGATTATTTCCATCATTATTTACATATTTAAATTAAAAAAAACATATATTAACTCATACATAATTTATACACATTGCCATATTTTACTATTTACTAAATATAATTTACTACTATCTTCTTCTTAAATATTTTATTATAATTTTTAAATTTACTATGATAACACAATAGTATTGTGCCACACTATTGTGGCACAATAGTGTGGCAACGCTACTCACAATTATCCGTTGCTAAGGTAAACAATCGAACTTGCAAAAAACATTCCTTAATGCTTAGCTGGCTGAAGGAGGTGAAAAGAAAATTTTTAAACAATAAATATTTATAAATATTATTAAAAAATTAAAACTATAAAAAATATAATTTAAAAAGCAATGATAATTGAAGGAAATTGGTTACAAGTGGAAACTGATGATCCAACTCCACAATTTAACTCAGTCAACACCTGTTTGACGTTATGTGACGTCAAATGTGATAATTACATACGACTGGTAGTAGCTGATTTGGTAATGGAAGATGAGCCCAAGGCTAAGCTAAAAGTATATCGTGGTCTGAAACTGACCATGGAACAAACGCTACCAGGATTACCGGCGGCAATAGAAAGTCTCTATATTGATGAGACAGAACCAAAAACGCCAAGTAAGTACTGAAGACAACTGCATTGATTATAATCATTTTTATTAAATTAAAAATTAAATTTATTTTTTGAAATTTATTTTAAAAATAATTCAAATCTTTTTTAATTTTTGTTTTATTTAAAGTAATTGCGGTGGCGATAGCGGAATCGGTTTTATTCTATCGCAATATGAAACCGTATTTTAAATATGTTGTACCTGAATTGGAGGTGGATGAAGTGGAAAAGGAAGTATGGAGAAAGTTGCCAGTTGTACGTGCAGAGCAACATGCCACTTTGTTGGAATTACTTAAAAACTTGGATCGTGCAAAATTGACAAGAAAATCACAGAAATTATTTCTACTCAACGATGAGGAACGAAATGTAAAGTTTGCATATATAGCATATATGTTATATATATATATGCTTTTAATTTAAAAATAATCTTTTTTTTTTTAGAATTTCATTGAAGAGCAAAAAGATGGACCTTTAACACGTTATGCCAGTATAGTCTCTATGCGTTGTTTACAGCGTCTTTCTAGCGATGCCAATCCACCTTCTTACCTGGTTCTAGCATTGGAAAATGGTGATATATTAATATTGGAACCACAAAGCTTTAGTGTGCTTTACAAAGGTAAAACTACAACCTTTGAAACCACACCAAGCATTATGGATGTACAAGGTACTTACGAGATGGATTTTCGTATTGTCATTGCTACGCGTTATGGTGGGGTTTATTTACTGCGTAAGGCAACAACAGAAGGACAGGAAATTATTAAAATGTCAGAACCATTAACTGGTTTGATGTTACTGCCAATTGATCAAACTGTGATTATTTCATCGACCGACAGACGTCTCTGCTGCTACTCAAAAAAGGGTAAACAGCTTTACAATGCTCCTCTGTCAGCAGTACCCATTTGCATGACGTCAGTGCCATTACCGCATTTAGGATTGACTTTAATTTGTGTGGCCCTTGAAGGTGGTCTTGTGCAATTTTATATGCAGAAATATTTAGTCGACGAGTTTCAAGTGCAGAGCACGGTAGTTGCTATGTTGTATGGTCGAATGGGACTAGAAGATTGTGTCCTCTCCTTAGTTACGATCGAAGGGGAGTTGATAGTTAAAATTCTTAGACGTGTGGCTGTCTTTGAACCAGGTACACTAGTTAGTGATAAAAATAAACAGGATCAAAAAACTACAGACGAGTGTATATTGCAAAAACCAAAGAAGAGTTCAATATTTGTAGAGCAAGCTGCAAGAGAAAAACAGAATCCTAAAGGTGAGTGACTTCTTACTACCTTTAGCCACATTAAATAATTGTTGTTAAAAGATAACTAGCACTTTCTGCTCAACATTTTTATACGTTATTTATATAATAATTATATTAATTTTTTTATAAAATATATAACTACGTCTCTTTATTTTTAATAGCGTCCTATGGCAGTTTCCAAACAGAACTTTGGCGCTTGCGTCTCACTGCAGCACGTACCACATTAGATGCATTACAATCCTTAGAATGTACCATATCTAGTGATATCACCCATGCGCCTGTAAAACTATCAGCGGAAGTATGTGGAGTAGGTCCAGCTTTTCGCCTTTACCTCACTATACATAACCTATCAACATACAAAATGGCTGGTAATCTAAAGGTGCTCTTACATGCCGATCGCAGGCACTATACTATGGTCAAATCACTAGCGAAGGTTATTTCATTTGTATAACAGAGTCTCACTTTGCTTAATTGTATTTATCCTTACAGCTACCCAGCATTTTACCAGGCATACCAATAAAAATCGATTTTGAGGTTGTCGCTGTTTTGGATCCTAGCACCAAACTACCTCCGTTCTCATTAACACCTGATAATTCACACATACGTGTTATGTTGGTAAAGGCGTTACAAGCAAAACCACTTATCGCTGCGATTATAGCCATGCCGGCTTCAGAGGCGGACTTCTGAGGAATATCATCGTAAAAACCAAAAACAACAAGCATACTTTGAGTGAAATATTGTGTTATTGGCTGATTAAATAAATCGCCGAAAAATATGTTAGAGAAAATAAAAATTAGTGTATTATTTACTTTTTTTGTTTTATTTATTTATTCAAGTTACTTAATATCAATTGGCAGAGTTACGAAATTATTATGCGTATTTTGGTGCATACTTTTCATAGACCTTGATATAAGCTTCCTTGGCGGCGTCTGGTGACAAACCCTTGTGTGTGCTCCAGGCTTCCCACATAGCCTTCTTTTTCAAATCCAATGCGCCGGGCTTGTCAATGTTGACGTCACCAACTGTGGCTTGTTTGAAGAGACCGTAGAATTCCAAAAATTCAGAGTCGCTGGGCTTCTTGCTGAAGTTCTTTGCCTTTTCACAAGCGTCTTCAAAACTGACCATTTTGCTTAATTGGATTGTGGAGAGGATCTAATGAACGGGAATAATGTTTGTATTTAATAGAACTTGCTTGAAATGTATCCACTTTCTTACCTAATAACACAAGAGTATGTCTAGAATGATAGGCTTAGTGAAGGTATCAGCTATTTATAGTCAGCTGGCGCTATCCAAATTTAATTAAATTATTTCTTTACAATTAATATAATTGATAACAATTGAATCTTTTCAATTTGAGGAAATTGAAGATAATATTTTAATTTGGTATATCCAAGAATTGCATCACTTTAGTTATTGATAAGTTAAATTTTTTCACCAATTTACCAATTATCTGGCATTTATTCAATGCCAGTAAAAAAGATATCTGCTCTGTCCTGATATACTCGCACAATTTAGCCACTGGCTGATAAAAAAAATAACTAACATACAACAAAAAGATAATGTTTCCAGCTTGATAAATAAAATATTAATATTAAAGATTATGTCACATATTCACATTTATACATAATATTTTTTTAATTTCATATAAAAAGTGTATTATGTATGTATGTATCTTTATTTATGGCAAGTGCTTTCCCCTCTATCATATGATCCCAATAAATGGTTTCATTGATAGAAATATATATTGATTTATCTGAAAAGCATGTGCCAAACAATCTATAACTTTTAGGTATATATGTATGTTTATATATGTATATGTATGTTCACGTATACATACGTTAATATACGTATAGTTTTTTACTGAAAAAATTAAGATTTCTGTAAAAATATTAACAGATAATTAATTACCATAATTTTAACTACTTATTATAAATTTTTATTATTTTTAATTTTTACTTTTACAAAAATATGCTTTTAATTAATTAAACACTTTTTAATATAATAAAAAGTATTGAATATAATAAAATATATAGTAGTATATAAAAATATAAATATAATATTCAAAAGTCCTTATAGTTCACATTAACTAGAACCGTAAGAAGAATACTTACTAACAAACAAATTATTTATAAACAATCACCAGTCTATATTATTAAAATATTTCAGTCAGAAGCTGAAATAACTTTCCAGTGTTTAAGTGATGAAATATGTGTGACTTAATATTTAGGTGTCTAAATTTGTCTACTCCAAGAGTAAGAGTGACGGAGAAGAGCAGTTTACCATATACTATAAGTGCCTAAATTAGAATAATTCATCTCGTCTTAATGAAACGTTTCTGAGTATGCATAACATCCGTCAGAAGTCGCTACAGGCTTGACATTTTAGGTAACAATTAGGCTTAAGAGCTGGTTCATCCCTTCAGTTAAGGTAAGGTGTCCTTTTTCAGTAGAACATAGTTAAGGTTGCTATGTCTGTCCAAAGAGATAGATTGTCGACTCTGCGTAGAAGCAGACGAGACTTCTAATCACATTCTCTGTGATTACCCAGCCTTGATCTAGGCCAGAAGGAGGTTACTGAGTTGAGAACTACTGTCTTGAAAACTATTACACGTATTGTTCCATGTAGACACTTTTCAGGCTTTGTTTCCCATATTGAATTATGCTGAGTGATATCTTGCTTTTAAAAGTGGGAATATATAGTATGGAATGCATTTGGTTTGATTGCGTCACATGCTCTAAACTCTTTACATGAGGAGTTTATCTCCGGAAATGAACTCGTTGGACTCTACGAACCCTACGAACTTCTTTTAGTGATGATTCTTGAAAAAGTTGGTCCCATATTCGAATCAGTAGTTAATTGAACTGACAAATTAAACAAATTATACGAGTAATAAACATAAATTATTTTAATAATAATATAATTTATTAATAGTAATAATCATTTATTTATATTAATTTATTAATAAATAAATAATAAAGAAATTACTAATTCTTGACTGATATTAAAATTCTCACTGTAGAATATGCGTAATTCTAACATTCTGTGTTTTATATATAATATATTTTTTATATTTTATTGGACTCTATATTTTAGCACATATTTTATACTTATATAGTTTAATGAATGTATAAAAAAAATTGTTTTCATCTGGCTATACTTTAATATTATATATAAAGTATTTTAAGTTTTTACAATTTAACTAAATATTGTAGGTAGAAATATAAGTGACGTGTTTATAAATCTTTTATAGATATATGTCCTAAAGTATGGACTCATAATCCTACAACTTTTAATTGAAATGTTCATATATTGTATGATTTTGTCGGCATGTGTCTGTATTAAAAATCGTACAATAGCTTGAATTAGAAATTAGTTTGAGAAATATTAAATTATTTAAGTTTAATTTTACTTTAAAAATTACTTTAAAATTAATTCAAACATCACCACTAGAAATGCATTTATCGCCACCATTTTGTTCATCTCATCGCCATACTCACGTAAACTGAAGGGCCATTGTTTGATGATACCCATAAAGCCATCGAAATACCTGTAAGACTTTCAAAAAATACGCAGAAAACTGAGAACCGTGATTGTTGTAATAAATAAATACATATATCCTGACCTTATAAAATGCTTAATACATCCTCATACTAAATATGAGGATAAAAATAATAAATTAAGTTTTATTATTAAGAATCTCTATATACTCGAGTAATAGATGTGATGTTAATGTTAATATTATCTAAACCCTCATAATGTCACTGCAACTAAAACTACTTACGTTAATGAAATTAAGATTTGATTATTTCTATTAGCATAAGCTGATTAATGCATACGAAATAGGTTGTTTACATATAAAATATGTGACAAATATTTCAAATTTTGGTAATTTCCCTCATGGGAAATTTATTTTTAAGTTGAGTTAAATAAGTTGATTTATTTATAATGATTTCATTTATATGAAACCGCTTGGTAAGGAATTTGCATTTAAGCTGACTGTAAGGTCGCATTGCTTCTGACCTAGTACCTGCTATACCTACATATATTACGCATATATTATAACAAAAAATAGCCATACGGTTTTTTATGCTATGAAATTTACTATGAAATTACTGTATTTGGAAGTAGATAAAGCAATTCATCTACATACTTGATCATTATTATCCAACATTCTTGCTCTTAATTAAGTTTAAGACTTTACAATAAATATCATTTTAAGTTTCGCTAAAGATTTCAGGGTGTTTTGAACTTTGAGTTTTTCCATTTTAAGGTAGCACAATGGGCCAATAGGCCTATATGAATTCCTTTGGATTCCAGTACAACCTAACCTGACCTAACCTATCCTTCAAACTCTTAGTAGTGCTGTGTAATTATTCAGCAGTTATTCGTTACTATTTTAATTGCTAATTGTTTGACTGATGTACTAAGCTATTTGCAGTAAGTCCAAGTACATATTTATTTTAATATAAAAGTATTTTTCCTTTGTTTTAGTCAGTACAGTCAGTAACAGGTTTGTATGTTCCAATATTGATTTCGATGTCATACTCATATATATTTAAGGAAAATTCCTACAACACGTGCAGTTTATTGTTGTTATTAGTTATATTATTGATTACATGTAATTATTTTGATTAATTTTTCATTTACCTTTTTACAAACATATGGAGTTGGAGTCTAGTCATAATTGATTACATCGAAAATTTTCACTGATAGCAGATTTCCATAAAAATATTCATGTGAATCATTCCGATACCGGTATGAATAACTCTATTATTTAAAGAAAGTGCATACAGTACGTCCTTCTGAAATAAAAACAAAAAGATAATATAATGGAAAAAAAAATAAAACATAGATTAGCAGCTCATATCAGAGCGACTGTGGAACTTAGCACCTGCGAGGTGTACAGATTTTCAATTATTGATAAAAGACAGTCCAAAAAATTAATAAAAAAAACTTATTATTAAAATAAAAACAAAATACAAACAACCGAAATAAAAGAAAGGAAAATATATAACAAACACTGATTAAACATAAAAACCCCATACATGAGAACATACTTACTTACCGAAATCAAAAATACAATAAACACAAAAAAAGTATTGTGTGGAGTATCTGATGATAATGAAAAAAAGTTGCTGCAAGTGTGATTAGATTGGTTTTGCCAAAATTTTGCACTGTTCCGGATATATAAGCTTGTACATAGTAAGGTGACTTCAGTGAGTACAGTTCGTCAGCACACAACAAACAATATGCTTACCGTAAGTATTTGGAAGACACGACTTACACATTATAATTACAATATATTTGGATGATAACTGATATGTTTTTATTTTATGTAATATTGCAGTTTGAAGAAATCGTTGAGAAGGCACGCAACTTCAAGCAAAAGCCAACACAAGAGGAATTCTTGGAATTCTACGGCTACTACAAGCAAGCAACTGCTGGTGACTGTGACTCCGACGAGCCAGAGGATCCAATCAAGAAGGCCTTGTGGCAAGCATGGAAAGACAAAGCCGGTATGACCGCTGATGATGCCAAAGAATACTACATTAAGGTCTACCATAAATATGCACCAAAATACCAAGAATAAATTATCCACATTAGTCAATAGTTTTCAAAGTTATCAATTTGAAGAATTTATGTACTAAATTAGTTAAATAAAAAGCCTTATAAGTTTAGACATGTAAAAGTAAAAAACTAACTTTGTTGTTTTATTTTATGAATAAAATAAATAGTGTTCCAAGACATATCTAATGTAGATAGTGTAATAGTCTAAATCTCGTACATATATTAAAATCATATTGGACTTGATTAATTATCTTTAATAGTTGAAGTGAAATTTTATTGTATCTTAAACATAGTCTTTACTAAGTCATTAATTTTAATCATTTTTGAGTCTATGAACCACCTTACAATAACGAAAAAGAATAACGATAGGAAGAATTTTATTGTTGCCCAGGACCGACCTGTTGTGGGTCACATTGGGTTCAAACAGTAAGACACCAACATTAGGGTAAATGCATTTCTTCCAAAAATCTATTTTTAAATACCAGTACCTTTTTTCAAAATACTATCTATTATTTATTATTTATAATTTATGATTAACTTTAATGCACTCATATTCATTATAGTAAAATAAATGCATATCATATAACACTACTGGCTTATCGCCTAAAATACTATTTATAAGTATTGATCGATATTGATTTACGACTTTTATATATTGGTCGAGTTTATTAGTTTTAGTTCGAAAAAATTTATACCCTTGTACCATAAAAAAATTATTAATCTGCATTAACTCTAATCAGTTTTATGTGGGTAAAATGTATATAAAATATCGTTATCAAATATTACCAGTTCGCACCGCTTTCTAAAAAATTATTGACCACGACCATAATAATTCAAAGCTCCTAAATTTTATTTTATCAAGAAAGCATATATATTTAATTTATTGAAATAAAGAAATAAAATATATTTTTTTAAATAATATTACGGTAATTATTAGTGGTTTTACACATAGGTTAACAAATATGTACTATATATTATTTCGGATTCCATCAAAATATATAATTGTGTTCAGTATTGTTTAATAAATTTCCATTGAAATATAGAATATTGCATATTGTATAGATATTTTAAATTTAATTATTTATTTATTACAAAAATAAACAACTTATTAAAACTACATATCTTAAATCACCGAATATTTATTGTGAATATAAATGATATACACAACTCAAAATTTGTTAATGGTTAAATTCGAGTCCAATGGTAGTATTAGAACTCCAACCCGTCAAAAGCGTAAACATGCTTCAATACAGTAAATCAATATTGTGGACAAAAATCGGGAACAATATTTTAGATATTACTCTGAAGAACTTAGACGTTCTTATGGCGCCCCATTTAATATATGTACTTATATCGATTTAGATTTAAAGACGTACAAAATTAATTTGTTTCAAAACCTTGATTCGACCTCAGAACCGTCTTAAATAAATTTATTATTTCGTTAAAAAGAACATCTTAAGGATTCAATATTATCTTCAGAATCTGAAGTAATCATGTGCAGATATTACTCAAAATTTAAATCAAAAGATTTCCAAGATACTTAAAATTTTGAAATAAAATAAAAGGCAAGACTTATTTAACTCATATCTACTTTGAAATATATTTTAAATATGCATTACATATAACAAAATAAATTTAAAATTTTTTTCTATGTCATCAACAAAAATTGTGGACTGTGTAAAATGATGTACCTTATATAAGTCACTAAAAAAACTTATAATTCTCATCCAGTTTTAAAATATTTTACTATATAATTGTATAATACATGTAACGAAGATTGTAATAAAAATTTTTATATGAAAAGGGTATTCATGGTTACATTCATATTTTGAACCAGCAGCTACGATTTCTACTTCTATTATATTCATAATTAATTGAAAAATATAAAGAATTGATTAATACCAAATTTTGTAAGATGTTATGTTTAATAGGAACTAAAAATGATAAAACACTTCATTAATGCGGTTACCAAACACCTAGACTATTTTTTTTATATCTGTATTTTTAAGCATTTTTCTACCAACCTTTTAATTTTGTTAGTAATTATAATGTAAATTATTTATAATATTTGATTTTATTTGAACACTTAACGCTATGACTGGGTGCATTGAAGAGAGTAAAAACAGACGTATACTTAGTATTTTATACCTATTTATTACTGTCAATATGGATACGTATTAATTACTTATTTTTTAGTGCAGTTAGCTGGCACTTTAGCCTTTATTTATTTATAAATAATAAGTATGAACAATAAGTTATAAGGAATTTTTTACAACTATTTATATATCAAAAGAATTAATAGCACATACAATAAACAAATAAGTTATTTTTCTATAGACACATATTAAATTATTTACCACAAAAACTTTTTTTACAAAATATAAATAATAACACTTTTATAATTTCATACTTTTTACAACAACAAAATACATAATTTTAAGAAATGCCGTCACTTATGGCGCTTCATATTTCAGAAACTATTAGCATTTTTTATCCGTATTATCAAGTCTCATTGATCTCCAATTGATCTATAATTCATTTATGTGTAAAAACTTTTTATAAATATGGAACACTCTAATTACGTTTTAAATATTTCGATTAGTGTGTGAGTAACTAATGTACTTTAGTTTTTCAGGTTTAGATTCTACAGTTATGTGAAAGATATATATATAGAAGATAAGATTATAAGTCATATTATGTATGTATATATATGTGCAAGTAATTAATATAATTTACTTACTAATCGTAACATCAGTCTCTTATATTAATCACTTAAAATATATAAACTAACACGGGTATATACACATATATATGTGTAATATTATATATAAATATAGTATACATACCTATATAAATATTTTTGAAATATGACTTTTAATATCTTCAGTTCAAGTTCAGGTTTTCCTAAAATTATGCTACATAAACTTTAATAAAAATTAATAATGGCTAGTAAAATAATAATAATCAAAGAATTGTTAATTATTTAACAATATCAATAAACACACAGATTAAATGTTACAGATAAGACATAATATATTCTAAACTATATTACTGTTCATATAGTTATTTTTATTTTCGATTACTAAATCAATAAAAATAATTTATTGATTAATAAATACAGATAAACTCGACGATTTAAATACACATCTGTGCCAAACAAACGGGATGACAAACGTGAAGTCCTAGTATTTCAAGAAATCACATATTCTCCTTCGATTCAATTAGAACGCAATAATAAATAATAGCGGCGCTGAAGTTATATTTAACTTCAGAATCAAAAAGGCTATAAATGCTTTTATTGAACTGAAAAAGACTGCAGTTATATGTCTACTACTAAAAAAATCGAATTTTCAACAAAAACATAAAGTCAGTTTTATTTTAAAGAAGAGAAATGTTCAAGAGTAGCACTGAAATTTTGTTGGAATTGTGGTTGTATGGATAACAACAAAACTCTGCTCCACCTCATGTGTCAGGGTTCATTGTTAACTAGAAGAAGATTCTAAATCTTCGAGGCTGCTTCTCTTACCGTCCTGGTGGAGCTGTCATCCTGTAATATTAGGGACTTATACACTTATCAGGTTAGTTCACTTTTATATGATTGGGCCAGTGTTGTTCATATACTGATAACTGCAGTTCTTTCGGGGGTCCTCAGCTACAAATACAGACTATCACAAACTATAGTTATGTTTACGTTGAATCGTCCCAGATGCCATAGCTACCAGTGGACTAATACAAAACAAATAAGAGGCACAGAAAAAATACGAAAACGCAGAAAGGACATGCTCTCAAACAGCAATATCTCTCGACAGGTATCTAACACATAAGCTTGTATGCGATCCAAACGCATCGCTTATGATTTGAAAGCGAATAATGAACCGAATATTATAACACATAGAAATAAATAAAAATTAATTATATTCACAACTTAATAAAAAACTGTCATCAACTCTTTTGCTTTATTAGATAATCTAAGACAAATATACTCTTCTATAAGTAGAATGTAAATATAATGGTAGTACCAGTCTTCTGGTCTTTATTGAAAGATTTAAGTTAAATAAAAGTAAAATACTTTCTCTAAAAGTGAAATACTTTAAAAGTTACTAAAAACTTTTTGTTCTTCTAAGTCAATATTTGACTATAGACATATTTCATTTCAAGATATAAGAATGTTGTTATAGTAAAATCATTTAATTCTAAGATTGAGTATAATAATCCATACGTAGTACACATAATCTTCATGCATAAATCATTTTTATTGTTTGTTTAGTGATAACCACCAAAAGACATCTTACATATACCAATAAACACACAATGCACGTACACCATCCTCATATATAATCTGTATAATCTATATAATCAACATTATGCAATATAAAAATGAATTTCATATAGCAAACACTTTTTTATATCAACATTTTCATACGAATATTAACTATTTTCCTGTTAATAAACACAAATCAATCGTTATCTACAGCCGTTGCACTTTAAACTCATTTAGGCTGGGACGCTAATTAATCTTAGATCGTTCGATTAATTCCAAACCACTTAAGTCTGTGGAACTAAAGCTTTATTATTTAAAAAAAATCAAAAAGAGTAGCGAATTAAAAGCTTCAGTTAAAGCTTATTTAAAGATTACCGAAAAGTATTTTAAAGTGCTTTGAAAGTAGTAAACTTCTAAAAGAATTTATTTTGAAAGAAATCGGAAATCCATTTTTTATGTATTTCAAGCTTTTAATTTTTATAAATTATTTTAAAAGGTCTTTTTTAGTGTAATTTATAGTTAATTTTTTTAAATGTTATTTTTTTTTCAATTAATATATTGTTATTATTAAGAACAGGTTTTTATAAAAATGTATTACTAAATTTATTGTGTTCAGGCTTATAACCAGAAGAAGAGAGGCTTTGAGATAATTTTTGAAATTTAAAAATTTTTTGTGTCTTATTAAACAGTCATAAGACATTAATAATCAATAAGAATATATATATGTATATATACTTAATTATACCTCCATATGTATAAATGCAGTTCTTCGATTAATTTTGGGGGGTTGAAGCTCCTCCGCCCCCAATTTGTCAAGAATTTTGTGTCTATGACAACTTTCTACTTAGTATTTCTGATAGCAGTCTTATTCATTGTTATAATATGAGATCTTGAAAACCTTTAATACAGTTGTGTGGAAGAAGTTTTTATATTATTTTTGTGTTTAACGTTCTTAATTTATATAGTATCAATATATATGTATCTGCTTAATATAGTTATAATATCAATAATATTAACTAAAAAAAAAATATTGTTTATTTTATAAAATTAAAAACAATAAAACTGAAGAAAATTTAATTGAAGTATAAAGCGATTTTTTTTATTTTATTTGTAAAAGAAAAAAATTTAAATTTTGTTAAAAAATTGTTATTTGTATATTTTATAAAAACTAATGTTCAAAAAAAAATTTTATCTTTTAATATAATTAAAAAAAAACTATTTAAAATAGTCAAATTAATTTACTTCATCAATATATCTCATCTCAGTAGACAGCAAATTTATTTTTTTTTTTGGCAGATTCTATATGGAAAACAGTATATTTTGCACATATAAGTTAATGGGATTTTATTCGAAAAATATTAAAATTTATTAAAAATATCAACTAGAAAGTAAGTAAAACTTGTACAAAAAAAAATTTATTATATTTTTAAATAATTTTAAATTTATATATAATATATAATATACTCTATATAGTCTATAATATAGTCTATATATAAATCTATATATAATTTTTAAATCTATTAAGAAATTTTAAATCAAATTTATTTTAATTTAATAATTATTTTTATATTAATCAAAATTTCAAATCTACTAATTTATTTCAAACCAAATTAATTTTAATTATTGAAATTTATTATAATATTAATCAAGCTATTCATACACATACTTTCATAAATATTATTAATTGATGAAAAAAAGGCAGATGTGAATAGAAAATAAAAGCTTATAGATTAATTTCTATGTTTGTTAATAAAATATAATATCTATATATTAATTTATTATAATATATATTATAATAATAATACAGATTATTATTATTAAAGATTGATTTTAATTATTATAATCATAATATACTCATAGATATAATTGAATCTATATAAATATCGCCAACGTTTTGAAGTTTGTTTGACTTATTCCACAGGGCGGAACTACTTCTTCCATAACTACTCTTCAAAACATATAAAGCGGTTATTTATTCAGAAATAGGTTTACAAAATTAGTTTGAAATAATAAACAAAAAATTTAATACTTTACAATATATAAACAAGAAACTATAGAGATTATTCCAATCAATTTTGTAGTAGTAGCAGAGATTTGGTGCTGATATTGTCACTGTGCTTTTTCAAATGATTCTGTCTATATAGACTACTAAATAGTAGTAATAACTATAAGAACAATAACTAATTTATAAGCTTTTATATATTCACATTAGCCTATTTTCACTAACTATTATCTTTAAAATAGAAAAGAAATTTATAAAAGTTTAGTTTATAGAAATAATTATTTTTATATATATATTATATATTTACTTATATGTATTTTATTTTTATATATGTATTATATGTAGAAACCATTTGTAGTTCTTATATTTAATATTATAATATGTTTTTCATATTTTTTTTCGGTTCTTCTTTTTAAAAACTATTTTTCTCCTTTATTTAATAGAACTTTTTACGTACTTTTTTCCTACTACTATTTCAACACTGATATCAACCGCTTCACTAAAAGTGTAGAGCTTTAAGCTCAACGCTGCTTCAAAAGCTTTCATTGCGATCAGTAAAATACGATCTCGTCTTCTGAACGCTTAAGCGGCAGCAGTTAAATTAAAACGCCAAACGCACTTTGGAATCAGACTGCAATTTACTTCTCAACTGTTTAGTAACTTAAAGTAAGTGTTAAAGATATTCTAGTTAAAGTAAATAAAACAATTTTTAGTTACATAAATGAAAAAATAATTTAAAGTGATTTAAAAAATTTGAATTTCTGTTCGAAAATAAATGATTTTATAATTATTTTATGAATATTAATATTATTGAATAATCAAGTGTATAAAGTGCAACATTAAGGTCATAAATAATTTCAATCAATGGAATTAATTCAGTGATGATAATTATTCTTAATATGCCATTTATTATAAATTATGGAAATTTAAAAAAATATACGGAAATCGCAAATATATGTGTTCTAAGCCTATGATATTAAATAGCTGATCGAGTTTTTGCTTGACTTAAGCAATTATTAAAAAAATAACACTGTTTATACATTTTTTATTTTTATTAATATTACTGTTTGTAATATATATTCACTACTGGCAACAAAATACAATTTTTTGACTCAATATGTTATTTCTTTAAGACGTAGTTTTAAACGATCTTTAGTCTGATCAAATCAACGATATACATATTATACATCTATTCTCAAAATCTGTAAAAGTGACGTTTTCAAAATGCGTGTAATATACTTTCCCAATAACAACTACTTAAAATAATATATTTTTTGTAAATTATTTTTGAGGAGAATGACGCGTCTTTATGACGAAAAGAAATGATTTTAAAGTTGGATTCGATTAGCAAAGAAAAGACAAGGACAAAAATTTGTTGAAATTTGTGTGACCACACAACGCTGTTTCGAGTATTGCCAAGTACTCATCATCCGTGGTCTTAAGAAATAATCCCATTTTTTTCATAGTGTATAGTCCGTATATAATTTGATCAGGATAAGGTATGCCAGAATTGTATGTCAAAAGCAATAAGTGCACAAAAAATTCTATCGCTAGGTCGCTTCGCAAAGAAACAAGCTTATCTTTTTAATTTTCTACTCATATGACCAAGTTATAGCTTGAGCATTTGTCATCACAGTTCTATATAATTTCCTATTTTAATAGAAAAATTCTTAATTAACTGTGAAGTACTGTGTTAATGTACCAAAGCATCAATAAAAGCTGTGACCAATCATTTTTTAACTATCTTAAAATAAATTGCAAAATCGCAGTGTATGAAAAAGTGCAAGCTTATAATATTATTATCTACATATGCATATATCACCAATCAATTTTGAATCTAAATTTAATTAATTTAATATTTTAATTTACAAAGAGGTTTTTAGAACAGTAGTGAACTACAACAACAAAAATTCATTTTATATTATTTTAACTAATTGAATTCTTGGTTCAATATATATATTAATTTACCATATAATTTATATATAATTATATAGTAATTATATAGTAAATTAAATTCTATAATTTTTTTAGAATTCAATTCTTGCAAAAAACTCTTTTTTTAATAATTAATTATTTTATTCTAAAAGGCAACAACTGTTTGACATTTTTAAGAATGTCTTATGTTTTTTTTTTCTTGGAATAAACTATTTATTAAATGTTTATATAATTGTAGTTATAATTATGATTTATGATTATTATCCGTTGTGGCTATTATTAAAAAAATATTTCTCTATAGAAATTTCCATCGCCTCAAGCCCAGCTAGATATCACCTTTAGTCTTTCTTTTATCTACAGCTTTTAGATACAATAATTGAGACCCAGTGCCTTGGGTCAAACTTCACCTAAATTTATAACTTAATAAAATATTTTGTTAATATTAATAAAATACTAAATTAACCTTAACTAAGTGAGAAAAATCAACATTAACAAAGTCCAAAAAATTTATAGAATATCTAGCACGTTTGAGCAGAAGATGCATTTACAAGTATTAGAGGGGAAGACAGAGAATAATGTGTTTCTGAATTTCTCATACCACTTAAATAACATTTGTTATATAGAATATCAAATTTGATATAAGGTATACAAATGTACATAAATAAAAACGTCTGTTTTCGCAATGATATTGTGATTTTTTTTACTTCCGAAATTTTATTTAATTTTTTTTTCTATTTTAATGACCTTCTATTTTGTACCACATTTAAATTGAATTCTAAAGAAAATAAAAAAAACCATTTAAAATCATATTATATTTTTTTGTACTCACAATAGATGTAATCTACTTTCGTTCGTGACTAACGCTAGAGAAGATACAATTGAAACTATAATTCAAAGGCGTAGTTGAAATTTCTGTGAGAATTGTCATGAGTATATATAAGTATATATACTTAATTATGAAGTATTAGACTGAAACTAAATTTCTAATATACGAATATATACATATGAACAATGATTTTGAAATGTGAAAATGAGACTTTACAGATAGAAGGGTATTTTGTATATATTATTATAATAGTGGGCTCACTACATAAGCCTTGCATAGCCCCACGACTCGTCATAATGCTCTTGTGGGACTTATCTCGCCTTTTGAGCAACCTTTAGTAGAACATCTAGTCTACAATGTGAATCTTAACAAATTATTTGGTCAAATGTACTCAGGTCTTTAAATTCATCAAATAAGAAGGCTCCTAACAAAGTAACCCTTTGTCTGGTTATATTCTAAAGTAAGTGACTTTTTTAATTTTAAATCGAAATTATTTAATAAGAAATAATAAAACAAATGCCCAAGGGAGGCAGTTAGAGTGGGGTTTCCAATGAGCAGTTGTAACTTTTCAGTTATTAGCTTTAAACTATCATTAAAAAAATAATAATATTTTTTAATATATTAATTTTCATTTTCATTCGAATTTGTATATTTATTTGCTATAAAATTAAATAAATATTGAATCAATCTTCCAAAACAAATTGACTGATAACTATATTTGTTTATCACTTTATATATCCGCTTTCTGTTTCAATGTAAACTATACTCAGTTTTATGATGACCGACAAAACACTGACACATACCGGTAAATATATCCAATAATTTTCATAAATACTGAATAATCAGAATTCTTTTTCCTTCATTATTTAAATACATAGAAAATTGAAATTTGGAACCTGATGCATACATATTCGTATATAATATTTTCATATACCATATATTAAACCTTATCCCGAAAGCTTGAGATATCAGTCTCAAACTGTGGCTGTTGATATATAAATACAGCTCCCATATAAACTCATTATTCTGATTTATAATAGTATAGAAAAGTCATGTTTATTTTTTAATAGATTTTCACCGGTTGTGGTTATTAAGTACTGTAAGTTATATTACGTTTTAGTATTCAAACTTAATTGATCTATGGTATAGGATAAACTAGGCAATACAAGTTCTCTGTGGAAAATGTTTGTAATTATCAACTCATTCTTGTAATATGTTGGTACCGACATAAATTCAATTAGCTTAAATTTGAATATAGCTACCAACTATGTAATTATTCAGATTCTGAGCTCAATAAAAGAACTTTTAAATTTTACATCTTCGTATATGTGTCCTCACTGGTCAACCTTATCAGAAAACTATTTTTTGTGTCCAATGAGAATAAATTAATGTCGAATAGAGAAGAAAATAAGAGATAGTAAATTTTTTTGATGGATAAAAAAGACACAAACGTTATTCAAGAGTACATAGATAACCTCGCAGATTACTCCAAAAATCATTTGGATTCGAAAATTTTCTTATTATTTCCCCCTTTTATTTTGTTGTTATTTATATTTAAGTCTTATGTATTCTGACGGAGTTTTTACGATTGTAAAGATCATTTCTATTTTAAGTTTCTGGATTAAATTTGTATTTTCAACTTTCTGAGATAGTCTGTGAGTATTTTTGTGACTCTATTCTCTATTTTCTGTAAGTATAGGTTGGAAAAATCATCTGTCAATCTCATTATTCTCATTATATCAAACATAATAATATAAACGTTTACGTTTCTAATTTAAAAACTATTGTTAATAAGCTTTTAATTACTCTGTGCAAAGGGTATTCAAATTTCGTCGAAACCAATCTTACTTCATCGCTTGTTTAATCTGAACTAAACTAAAATGTATCTGGACAATGATTCAACTTTACCAATGTTGTTTCAAAGCAAATATAGAAAACGAATTTAAATTTCATCTCAAGGTATTCACTGCAAGATGAGATCAATTATCAGATCAATTATTTTTGATTATCACATATTATACGTATTATCATTATCTAACACATTATTAGGAGTATTGAGGTCTCACTCTCCTTCACCCGATGTGCGCTGCTGGTACGAAAACTATTAAATTACGCTTATTTAATTTTATTAAATCTAATTTCCGCACTAAACGTGAGGTTTAGAAGATCTGGGAAGTTCAATGGAAAAAAGTAGAAAATTAATAAAAAATGTTAATAGAGAAATAACGAAAAATAAAATACTGAAAATTTATCGCACCGGTAGCATAACTGATTTGTATCTGAAGTGGTCGAGCGCAGTATGAACTCGGCGGAATACTCCACTTTGAGACTTAAAAGGCCTCGCACTTGCAAGCACTTGAAAAATGCTCGACAAACGAGGTTTTGTTATGCAGAGAAAGTTATTACTCCCAATGTCAAAAATGTTACAAAAATAAAAAAAATAGAGGAAAGCCAAAAAAATAAAATTATTTAGAAAAAAAGATATAAACAGTATTATTATTTAAAAAAAAAAAAGTGTATTAATCGCACAATTATTTTTATTATTATTTTTTTTACGGGGTGAGACGTCAAATTGATTTTTCAATACGAATTTCAATTCCCATTTGGGTATGGCGAACGTGCCCACTGCTACTTATGACACTTATGACGGCGCTGACAATCGATCGCTATTGTATCTACCCAAGGCAGCAATCATCTACTGAAACGTACTCGTATTCCTAATGTCTGTCTGTTTGTTGGTTTGCTAAATTTACAGCTAATTTAATGCGTTGTTTGCATATTTGCAGATACATTGTTCGCTTTGAGTTTATTGTTATTTATTTATTTTAATTATTTTTACTGTTTTGTTATGATCGTACGATTTTCTACCCCAGCAAATCAAATACATAGATTGCCTATAAATCGATGTTTAATTCAAAGTTGATTTTAGTAAAAATATTAGTAATTTATCGCTGAATTAATATAAAGCGGCCGCGGTCTACACCATAAAAATGTTAAAAACTTAAAACGCTTAAAATAATTCAAATTTTTTAAACAAAGTTCATTGACTTCTTTTACAACACAAATATTTTTAGAGTTATGACAAAGAGCTTTAAAGGGAACACAAGGCTGTATTAAAGGTCTCCTCCCTTCTTCTTTACTATACATAAAATAATTACTATACTAACTCTATAATGGGTTCCCGGTCATAGAACATTGTAGAAAATAAAAAAAACAGAGAGCCTAACCTGTGTTAGCGCTATAATAGACACCTCTTTAGCGGTATCGAGATATGTATCCTTAGAAACAGTTTCTCCACTTTCTGTAGCTAAATAATAATAAGTGGAAGTCACTCAGAACATGTCAAATATTCCATTCAACCTGACCGTCTATAACAAGCCCAGGTCGAGGACTTATTAACAGGGAGATCATAATGCACAAATAATAATAGTTCTTTCAGGTCAGTGGTGTATAGAATCCCACGCAGAGACACTGCACCGTCCATTTAACAATTTTTGTGGAAATTGCAAATATTTAGAAGACATAAAGGAAACAATAACACTCTTCCGCTGTGGCTGCTTCTTAAGCTTTGTTAGTTTTGCTAACAGAAGGAGACATTTTTAGGATATTTCTTTTTACGCAGAGCAATCTGACAGCTCATCAGTAAGAAGAAAAGTTTTATTAGAAAGGATGTCTGCCAATCAGGCAACCAACCTATAACAAACCAACCAGTATAATAATATATTATAATACATAATAATTAAATATAATATATTTTATATAAAAGGTCTGTTACACGAGTTATTCGGAACTCAATGTTCAGCATTTTTTAATTTTTTACTGTTTCACAATGAGTTCCTGTGTTTAATAAACCTTACCGTTGATATAGAATATTAGCTGAATGATTCCAACAATTTATTGATTAATCCCTTCTCGTTATAACATTTTATAAAATAATATTTTATTTACCCATCATAAAGAATTTAAAACACTATTAGGACCTACAGGAAAGAATGGATCTATTAACATTAACTTAATCTTTATCCCAAGTTTTTACAAAAGGAATATTACTTACTTATCCTAAATCTTAATTAATACGAAAAAAATACTAGTTTGTTCGTATAAATACTTATGGAAATATATTTAGTATTAAAAGTAACACAGCTTGTTTAAAACCACCTTAATTAGTATATTTTACCTATACTACAGAGAATCTATTCTTTAAAGTCACACAGGTCTGCTAATAAAGCTTCGCTCATAACTAATGCTTTTTTTTTTTTGGATACATGCTTACAGATACATAGAAAATTCAGACTAATCTTTGAACTTAACATTATCGAGAACTATTTTTACTATTTTCTGATCACTTACTCATTACCAATCTCCATTTTAAAGATACTGAGATAATTATATCTAACCTTTGAACTTAACTTTATTAAGAGCTCTTTTTACTATCTTATGATCTATTAATCACAAATAAATAGTATATTCTATAAAATATTATAAACCATTTATGTACTTTTTTTATTATTTATGTACTTATATATTTGCATATCATCTTCGTAATTTATTTTTTTTTTTGTGAACTGATTTTTTTTTCCTGTCTTAGTTCAGACTAAGACAGTTCAGACAGTTCAGTTCAGTTCAGACTTAGTTCAGACTAACCTTTAAGCAGTTTTTTTGATCTAAGTTATGAGAAAGAACAAACTTCGAGTTACAGATTTTATCTCAGAAAGAAAGTCTGCGATGAACTCATACCACCAGGGAGTGTCGAAGTTCAAGAAATCCATGTTACAGACAACAGTTATACACGGTTCTTATATATAAAAAAAAACCATATCAGCATTTGTTTTAAATATGTTTCAACAAAAGCATGGAAAATTTTTTTTGTAAAAATTTTGAAACAGAAAAAAGTCGAGAATATCTAAAAATTTAAGTGCCAAAAGATACATAAACATTTTTTACTGCCTAAGAACATTTCTTTTTAATTTATGCTTAAACATTTAATGCCCTACACAGGTGATTGTACAAATCATTTAGATAGGCTTTCGGTTCTCTTCTGCTCGTTTTAATCATTAGAAAAAAATTTATTTTTATTTTTGCATATTAAGAATTCATTAGCGAAAATTTCGTCATACACCAGAAAAGGTATAAAAAATAAAAAATAGCGTAAAAATATAAAAAAAAAAATTATTAAACAATTAACAAAAAAGATTAAAAGTAAGATTAACATAATAAATAATCGCAAAGTGAAAGGCAAATCAACTCGCAAGTAAAAGTTTAGTAAAGAAATATTTAATGTCTTCTCCGCCAGATACTCGACAGAACCTCAGTACTAAGTACATTCTACATTCTCGGAAACATGATTCATCTAATTTATTATAATTAATTCAATCTTTGTTAAACAGAAATAAAAAATTGATTTGGTTACTTCATTTAATTAGTCTTCTGAAAAAAATTTAATAATTAAAATATATATCAAGCCATACTTATATATGATAATATGAAACAAACAGAAAGTTCTCATCCCTTCTCTAGTCATTTGGCTTGGGTTGCCCCATAATTCTTTAGTATTAAAAATTTTAAATCACTGCTAATGTGTTACTCATTATGATCTCTAGATCTAGATTATCTAGAACTTAATTTGCGTTTCCAACAAAACCTTGTTTTTTACAAAAGAAATCAAAACCTCGTCATTTGCTCCTATTCAATATTGCCTTGCTTTCACTCTCACGAGACCAGTACTGGTTCTAAAGTACTTTCATATCGATGTGCATTAACGACTGATTCCACTCCGTTTGAAGGCCCAGCATTTGTATCCATTTGAAGGCCTAGCATTTATAAATTGTATAAAGTTTATGACCATAATATGGTTAATCCTTTTATTAAAATAAGTTTTCACATATCTGACTGATTACTACATTTTTATTATCCATAACTTCCATAGTCATAACTAAATCTACATGTGGTTAATTCTTTTATCAATATAAGTTCCCAAATAACGATTGATTACTACATTTTTATTAGCCATAACTTCCATAGGTTACCTATATCTACATCTGGTTAATTCTTTTATTAATATAAGTTTTCAGATATCTGACTGATTACTACATTTTTATTAGCCATAACTTCCATAGGTTACCTACATCTACATCTGGTTAATTCTTTTATTAATATAAATTCTCAGATATCTGACTGATTACTGCATTTTTGTTATTGAATTCTTCTATCGTCTTAACTACATCTACATCTGGTTAATTATTTTATTAATAAAAGTTTTCAGATATCCGACTGATTACTACATTTTTGTTATCCAAAACTTCCATAGGTTACCTATATCTACATCTGGTTCATTCTTTTATTAATATAAGTTTTCAGATATCTGACTGATTACTGCATTTTTATTTTGCATAACTTACCTAAATCTACATCTGGTTAATTCTTTTATTAGTAAAAGTTTTCAGATATCCGACTGATTACTAAATTTTTGTTAGGCAATTCTTCGTAGTTTTATATACATCTTTATTTTTAACTGCACTATCTATAAAATTGATTTATGATGTACTTTAATGCACCCCACATTTGATGGTATCATAAATTATAAATCGATAGAGTTTATATTGGAGACTGTGTGATTGCCGTTTAGTTTCAGCATTTCTTAAAATATTTCATGTACTCATTCAATATATGTTTTATGTATTTTATTAACTAAATGAACTATTCTTATCAATATAATAACATGCGATTAATAAACAGAAATTTTTCCACTTCATTTTATTGCAGATTAAATACAACTTATCACCATGTCACTTGATGAGGTAAGTACATAAAAAATTATAAATAAATTATCAAAATCGATTGGATTAAAATGTACTTCAACTATTTTTATTTCCATTCCCCAGCAATTCAACGCCGCCGCTGAAAAGGCCAAGACCTTCACCAAACGTCCCACAGACGATGAACTCTTAGAGCTCTACGCACTCTTCAAACAGGCAACTGTTGGTGACAACAACACCAGCAAGCCCGGCATACTCGATCTGAAGGGCAAGGCCAAGTGGGAGTCCTGGAACAAGCAGAAGGGCAAATCACAAGATGCCGCCAAGCAAGAATACGTCGCTTTTGTCGAAAAGTTGGCCGCTTCCTATCTTTAAGTCTTGTCTTTAACAATTTCAATAAATTATTTTGTATGTTATTTTGATGTTATATTAAATACTGTTGTTCTTATGTTAAACTTCCCAACATAATCATGCACCTATTTAAAACTGTTATAATATGACTTTTTTTTATTTCAAGTCACTTAGCCTCGATGCACCTCGTTTTGCATAAATGCCACATCATCATTGCTCCAAAGTGTATTTGCGAAGTAAACACTTCAGTTGCGAATTCTCAGTTTTATTTAAAAATTTAAAAATTTATTTTCGATTTTAGTGTTTTTTCTATTTAAAAATGTGCATTTTAACGAGTCTCTGTCATTGCATTTTGTTTATATTAGAAAAATTTATAAATAATCTTAAATATTTACTTTCGGTTGGAAAACAAAACGTTTCCCACAAAGTGGACAAAGCGTGGCTGCACTAAAGCTTCGTTTTCATCATTGTTTTTTTTTTTGTTTACTAAATTATTAATAATTTATTACTTAATCAACAAGACCAGTGCTTTTTGTTAAACTATTAATGATAATTTCAATAATAATCATTTTGTTTGAAATACTTTGTAATTTGGTAGTATTATTATTAGAGAGGATAGAGGGGATTAGAGAGGATAGTGCACTACGACCTAAAAGATCTGTTGTGCCACTTAGTCGGATTAGAGTGTTTTTCCAAGTCCGATTTCTTTAATTAAAGACAGTATAGAGCCTATCTTTCCTAGTCCTAGGATCCTTATGATCCATGAAATACCCTCCTTGGTGTTTCTTCCGCTTGTGCATCAGTGTTGTGATAGTATTCATTGGGATATATTCTTTTGTGTCTAATCAAAAACATTTATTGTCTATATTATTAGGATTAGATTTTATTATTTTAATAATTTACTTTTTTCATATCTTCTTTTTCTTCTTTGCTTGATGAAGCGCGAGTTAGTATCTAAAGCAGTTGGACCACTTGGATGATCCACAATAAGAAGAACTCCCTTCAATTTTGCTAATAAGTTATATAGATGATTCTATAGTAGTGTACTTTGAAGCCCAGCAAATAGTTTTTATATGTAGTTTTATAAATATTATAAAACTTTCAGAAATATAAATATAATTTATTTATAATAAATTAGAACTTTTAGAGTTAATGAAAGAGCATTTGGAATTTTTATTTAAGTTTTAATAATTCATATATATGGAAATGATGATTTTGAATTGTTTAAATTTTACAATATTAAATTTCTTTTAAATAGTTTTCTTGTAATTTCCATTTGTTTTTTTAGTAATATATTTTGAAAGGTTCAAATTTTGGCTTCTTTGGTAAAGTTACCTATATTTTCCCGTTGTTGATGCTCCAACTTCTAGAGCAAAGATATTACTGAAATTATATTATAGTTAGGAGAAATTAAACTTTTACGTTTATTTTTTTTGTTTGTTTTATTTCATCTTTTTGTTTTAAATTTAATTATATATACTAGAACTTTTTGATTGGGGGAGTTTTAGTTAGGTTAAATTGTTTGCTTCAAGTTGATTTAAAGTCTTTAAATCATTGTAATCAACATTATCATTTAATTTTTAAGCTCACAATGTCTCTCTGCTTCTCTCTCTCTCTCTTGTATTACAGTATAGATACTTTACTTCGTGGTAATTTTCTGATTACACCTTAAACAGACACATTCACATAGCGATATACCCTCAAACAAAAATGTCAGATCCTCTGTTATAGTTTCATATGCTTGTTGTACAGATACTACTACTTCTGTCAATCTTTAAAATGATGGCGTTGAAGACATGTCATGTCAAAACTTCCTCTCTAAGCTTTGACGTTAGAGCTTTGAACGTGACCTAAAATCTGGATAAATTGATTACCATATCTATTCTCTGAAGGTTGTGTAAAATTTACAATGAAAGCGACAAAGTAGGAATTGATATGCCGAACTGTAACTGCATAATCTCGTTGTCCCCTTTTCAAGTAGATTAGTTAGGTTTTTGAGATAATATTATATTATATTGACTTCTTAGATTATCTATTAAGATAAATCTCAATCAGGTCGAAAAGAAAAATTGCTAACGTGTTTTTTGTTCGAAGACTTATAAATTACTAGTTTCTTGACGAAATATGCTCCAGTTTAAAATATTAGACTTAAAGGTGTCTACATTCAGAAAATACTAATTTCTTTAGTATATATACTTATATTTTATAAATATAAAAGAAAACATTTAAATGCTTTTGTCTTATGATAGTTACCTTAATATGCAGGGCGGCGCAGGTAGTTCTTGTTTTGATATCCTATTTTTTTTAGCAATTATATAATAACTTAACTTAGGTCTTTTAGTTCAATTAAAATTTGTTTTTGCTCTTCTTCAGAACAATACCTAGTTCAGTACCTCCATTCGTTGCACCGAATGAGGTCTAATAACTTGAACGAAAGAATATTACAAGATTTAGAATACTTTTTTTATAAATAATTTATAAACCCAATGATTACATGTTGAATTATTGTTATGAAATTCAAACAAAACATGTTAGTCACTGAATAAGAAACAATTTGTTCCAGATAAGTCGCCTCCTATAATATCATCATTATTATAACATATTTGAAGTCATTGACGTATTTTAAAAGAAAGACACAGTAATCTTAGAAAACATGTTGCACTTCATGTGACCTAAAATTAGATCAAAATAGTGAGCAGTTGCTCATCGTATAAACTAGTAGATGCGCCCACTCTTCCTCTTCTTAGTATATATAGAATTATATTTTCTATTATCGAATTTTCCAAATTTGTAAATATTTTTGTTGCTACTTCAAAACAGGATATTTTTAACTTAAAATATTTTATTAGAAGACTACTTAATATTCTTTACTAGAAATCGTCTCCACAAGTATGAAAGAAGAACATTTAAGAATAAATAATATATAAATCCATATTCATCAACCTGATCTTCAGTACTGTATTAAATTTACACAATTTCAATATTGGCAACTCTGTAACTGTTGCTAAATGTTGCAGCAACAATACAACAACACGTTATTTCAAAACAACATTGCCTCTCAACAACAGGTGTGCTTATCAACAAAGCAAAGCAAAACAAATGCATGAAAATTTATTTGAATGTTCAACGACCAAGTGTGAATGAAATAAAATGATACATCAGCCGGCAAATTTATAAAGCAGACAAGTTAAAACAAACAACAAAAAGGCCAAAAAGTACGGCGATGGTACACAAAAATTAATTGTTTGTTATGAATGAAAACGAAGAAATAGAATAAAATTTATGTGAATGCTAAGCGCAGCGAAGAGATAAAACAAATTAAATAGGAAAGAGAGCAATATCGCTGTGCCCGGTAGCTTTTATTTCAGCGGCAGCATTTGTGAATGGTTAATGGTTAACAGAGAGGATTTGGCAACGTTCACGTTCGTGAGAGCAAAAATAATAATAGCATTTATTATTTTTGTTTTTGCATACAATATTTTGCGTGCGCTCAATTTAGCAATGAGCGCAGCTGTTAGCAAAATATCTCTTTTAAGTCAACTTCTGGTTGCTGTCGACTAGTTCAGTAGACGTTTTGGCTTAAATGTGTTTGGTTGATCGTTGTTTGAAGAGCGGAATGTTGTGTTTGAAAAGTTGTTAAGAACAAGAAAAAATATCAAAAGAAGAAATAAAAGAAAACAGTTCTTTTGTTTGTGGTTAATACAAGTTTATTTAATTTTTTTATTATTATTCTCCTATACAAACAAATATGATAAAAAAGCAAAAAAAAAACAAAAATGTTTGAGTGTTAAGAAATAAATTTTATCATTTAAAATTGTTGGAAAATGTCAAAGGCACAAATTTTGGCAAGGTGCAAAAAAATAAGAAATTAAATTGTCAAATGTGTTTACGTTGGTGCTTCATGTATTCTTAAAAGAAATTTAAATAAATTTGTGAAATATATTTAAGCAAGAATTGTTTTTTAACAAATAAAATATTTCGTCGTCATCAATTTTGTTGATTTGTCTTGTCTGCAGTAGCAGTTCATATCTGTCATATCTAGTGCTGTATCTATCAGATTTCCGTATGTGTCCATAAACATATGTACATATTTCCAAATAGACGTACGTGAGTGTGGTTGTGCACATTAACCCGTTTTAATTTTCTATGTGCGGTTTGCTTGCCGCAAACAATGTTAAATAAGTCCATATAGCAAACCATTCCAAACCTCGACTGTGGTCTCGATTGTGATCTCAGCAAGGGAAAAATATACTACATTAAAAAGCAAAAATTTATGAAGAATAAAAACTCGTTCTGGCAGCTTTTGCTGGCTGTTCTGTTCGGACACTTCGTACCAAATAAAACATACGCCAGACTAGACCGGGCCAACATTCGCACCGTTCCGCTCCACACCGCTTAATGGTTACACAAACTGCCCAACTGGTCAACAGCTGAAATCATGTTCATTCTAGCGGTTAACAAGTAAGTACAAAACATTTATTGCTTAATTCAACAACTGCATTACGGTTAAAAGCTGAAATTCCAAACAAAAATACCAAAAGTACAATAACTACAATTGTTTAGAGTTTTTATTGCTTTTACTGTTTTCACTGTTTTTACTGTTTTTCTAGAAACTTTTTAATACTCGTACGTATACCTAAAAGGTAACAACAAAACAATACCACATAAATATTGACTGATAAACATGAATATATGAATGAGTACGCTAACTTAACAGCAAGTATACTTATCCTGCTCTAAAATGTGTGCACTCACCTGTTGAATTACTCCGCGGGTCGTTACTTATGTTTTGTAATTCAGTTATTTTATGATATTGCGTATGTATTTACATACATATATGCATGTGTTAAATTATATGCTACGATAAGATTCAAAAACGTGATGATAATATTTCAAGCAGTTAACATATGCACACACATACATACATTATTATAACACACCAACTGAAGTTTATTTTTATGATACATTAAAAAATTATTTTGCAGTCTGAAATTGCATAAAATTTAAATGCCAACCCCCGTTCAATATTCACATAAAAACAAAAAACTGTTGAACTTGCAAGTTGGCAGAGCTGCAATAAGCAAACAAAAACAAAATGTATAAATGTGCGTTGACGCCTCTCTTAAACGTTTGTTTTGACGGGAAGTTGCTTGTTCTTCCTCTCTGATCGGCATCCGTATTGTCCACTGCCGAATGCACTATAGCAGGAATGGTATCATGAGCAGCTTGCACCACACGTCTCACCTCTGCTTTAACCATATTTACCTGCCGTCGTGTCTACAATTTTTGTTTGTTTCCATATATTTTTTACGCTTGAGTTTCTGTTGGCCATAAATTTCGAGCAATTCGTTTCACTCTGCTCATTACTCATTGTGAGGGGAAAAAATAGTTGTTTTGAAATTTGAATGCAATCGGAAATTTTAATTACAAAAACTGAAAGAGTTAATAACTCTTTAACTGAGAAGAAATTTACAAAAATAAATTAAAATTAAAAGAAACTGCCAACGAAGTTTAACGCTGCATTAAAAGAAAAATTTATAAAAGTAGAAAGACAATCCTCGACTTCATTCATTTATGCAATTAAGGCACTAAAAATGTTCTAATGTCATTTTGAACTAAGAAATCTATCACATACCCAATTAAGCATGTTTTGGCCTATTAATTATGCATTGAGTGGAAAATACTATAAATCTCTACTCCGGTGGTCCATAGTACCAACTCCAACATTTTATTCAAAATGCGCACATTTAAGGATTTTATAGTGTTTCATATGTTATAAGAAGCAATAAGCCTTTCAAACAGACAAGACTGTCAGTCCTTTTGTTACTTGCGTATCTTTCATGTCTTGGAGCACAGATCACAAGATATGGCGCTTGCTTAATCGCAGTTCATTGAAGAAAGTTAAGTACATGGTTCAGTATAAATTTATGAATTTTGACAGAATATAAGGCCAGTGAGACCACTTCACTGTCTGACATTGCTGATTGTTGCTCTATTAGTTTTTATATTATTATTGTTGTTATAATTATTAACAAATAATTCCACTTAAAACATATTTGAGATAATCTCAGTACCGCTTAAAATAAAATCGATTTTAATTAAACTCATAAGCACAATATATACTAAATCCCGAACTTATTTGTTTTTATATATTTATTCTAAATAACATAAAAAAATGAAAAAATGTATAAAGTATTATACACAAGTATCGAGTATTTTACATTTATCTCGAGATTTATTAATCGAAAATGAAAACTACTCTAAAATAACTCTAAAAGTTTACTATAGAGTTACCAATCGAAAACAATATACTCGTAAGTGCACTTACTTTCTTGTGGAGTATTCTACGAAATAACTCTATCTTATAAATAATATAATATATTATATATAATAAAAAATAATTCTTAATATTATATTAATATTATAATTAGTATAAGAGTATACTACGAAATAACTCTCTCTTAAAAAAAAATATTTTCAAAAACTCATTTGGAATGAATACTTGACCTTTTGGACACATATACTAGCAAGTAATATACAAAACATAATACACAACACAACATTGTTGTTGTTGCAAATGTTTTTTGTTTTTTGACATAATGTTTTCATTAGTATGCTTACTTTTTCTACTAAAACCACCGATAATGCTGCCTAAAATTTCTAATGCTGCATAAAACAAAAGACGCTTAAAGAATATCAGCACTCTTATGGAGATACCCCGTATAGATATCAGTCTTGTAATTAGTTTGTCCAATGGTGATTAGGGAATGCTAAAAGATTGAATCTCCCTTTTTATCATTTCTACCGCAGTTGTGGAGAGGACGAAAAAAGTACCTCATGTCTGCTTTGTTACTGCTCACCACAAACGCGGTACCGATTTACTATTTTATGAGCTTCCTTTTTAGAGCTCCTTGGCTAAATCTAGTACCCCTCTCTAAACAGAACTTTAAGTTTTTCTAAAGGTTCAATTTGGTTTTTAAGCCTCGAAGTTTCTAATATGGCAACACAATAGTGAATACTTAAATTGCAGGCAACTAGGTAACTAAACTAAACTAGAAAATATTAATTTAGGGTTAGACTACAATAATCTCACACTGATGTAATTAATGCGATATGTATCGATCTTTATATGTAGCGGTCTTTATTGATAATAAAAAGTGTTTAGTATTTAAAAGCCTTAATCACAGGTTTCTGTGGAAAATTCTGTGAAAAAAAGTCAATTAACTTAATAAAAGGACTATATAACAATATCCTAAAGTTGGACAATGCTCCAAAGTGTTCCAATCATTATCAAGTATAGTAACTATACAGATACTATATACAGATACCATACAAGGACTAATATATGGACTACAGGTAAATACACAAGGATACATTTTATCAGTTTATTGTTCATACCTGTATTAGATGAAATAATAGCAGTATTAGACGAATAGAAGATAAAGAATCCGATGAGCACCACACTATTCAAAGTACCTATGTAATCTACCCGGTTTGGTGAATTTGACTAAAAAACAATTTTAAGACCTTGATGAATTGTAAATGCTTGTTCTACTATTGACAAAAAAAATTATAACTTAAGATTTAATTATTTATTTATCTTAATTCATATATTTCACAAACCATATCCGTTATATGAACTGCAGCCTTGAATTCTAAATATTATGGTGACTGAGATATGTTGTGAGAATGAGAGATGACGCTTCAGCTAAAAAAGGTTGAACAAAATATTATTAGGAAGAACTAATAAAACTGGCGAGATCTCCTTTAAAATGAAAGGATGAAGAAAATGATAGAATAGAATAAAATAAAAAAGGGATTAGAATAAGTAAATATTAATTTAAATAAACTGAAATTTTTTGTTTTTAAAATAATCCTTATCTACAATAATATATATTAACTTTAAACAGGATTACAGTAGGATCGCTATTGTGATATTCGTTATTTGAGTATTCTGTCAGTAATAAAATATAAATACTTATTATGATAACTTTTTTGCTTAAACTTCATCTACTAATTTATCATGTAGAGAGAATGTTTGTTCTGTGATTAGTCAAACAAATTTCGATATTCAATAAGTTCAAAATTACGTTAAAGCTATAAAAAGAAATTCTCTAATCTTCGATGACGAAATGAAAATAAAAATCGGTGTTCTAATGTAAAACAAAAATGTCATTAAATGCATTTCACACTGCGATCGATAACTGTTCAAAGTCCTAACTTATGTCACTGAAATACTACCAAGTATTGAGGTAGTACACACCAGCTTCGGCTAATTCGCTCGCTTAAGCTGAATATCGAAACAAGTTTAAAACGGCACTGGTTGAACAAAAAAAAAAGAAAAATAAACTCAACAACTGCACTGGTGGCAACAACAAAGCCAGAAACCAGAGACAAGACCACTTTTTCAGCGATTTCATCGAAGAGCAATTGAACGGAAACTCTGGCTGCAGACTTTGGAAACAGTCGTGCTACCGCAAAACTCGCAGACACAACTCCGATCGAATCGCAGACGAAATTCGTGAGGTGAAGAAATCACAGTCTCACAGACTGTGATAAATTGGCAATTTATTTGCGCTGTACTTCAGCTGAACGATGTACAATATTTAATAAAAAATTGTTTATGTTTTTTAAACTTTTAATTTTGTTTATCAAAAATAAAGCAAATCTTTACAACAAACTGCTTTAAAAGTAATAGTAGAAAAAATAAATGTGGAAACCAGAAGTAAATGTGCGGGAGTGTCGCGAGTTTTTATCTTAAAACCGATAAAAAAAAAACGTTAAAAATGAAATAAAAAATATAAAATAAAAAGTTCTGTTGTTTCGTATAAATTGAAAGTGTATCGATAAAGTAATTTGATAAGTTTTATTTCCTTATTTATATAACAGTTTCCCCAGTTTCCCCAGTTTCCCCGGTTTCCCCTCAACAATCCGTTGCAAATATTTTCTTGGTTGTTCGGAAAAGTTACGTACAGGTCTGCGTCTATGTCTGTGTCTGTCTACTGGTATTCATTCGATATGCCAGCATAGAACTGACAAGGCTAAGAAAGTCATGTGAATTGCTTTGAAATATTTTATAAAATCTTTAAAAATTTGCTTATACGTACAGGAAAATGCTAATTATTTATTAAATCTTAATTATAAAACAAGTCTTGCTCAACGGATTTCACACTTCCACTCGTTTTGCTGACATTTTGTACCAATATATCTGCTCTGCAGAACAGAGACCAGTTATTAATCAATTATCAGTTAATTTCCGAATAATTTTATTTGATTATTAAATTATAATTTTGAAAGTAAAATCGATATTTTAAAATAAATTTTTGTAATTAAATTATTAACAAATCATTTTTAATAATAATATATTATTATTAATTTTTATATTATAATAACTATTCATTAATAATTTGGGACTTGGCGTTGGGCAAGCCTGTTTCTGCACATTTGTTGGCATTAATTTT